AAATTCATTAGTGTTGACCAGTATCTTGGTCTTCCTTATGGCCATATTGCCCTTTACAGGCGCAGCTTCCACTAGTGACACCACCATTTCAAGGAGCGTGTCAGCAAGTATTCCTATATCGACTGGCACATCTCCGAAACCAAGCAGGAGCTCGAAGCGCATTGTTCAATATGCCCACACAATCTATGCACCGACATCTCTCAGCAAGGTTCATATTGAAGAACTTGTCAATTCCACGCGCCCTATCTATGCCACAGATGTCATTTATGGAACTTGGACCATATGGGCCAACAAGACCATGACTATCAACAAGGACGGAAACAATATAAACCCCAATCTCCCTTCAAACTCCTGGGCGTGGGCCGAGATGAGGACCGTTCAGAAGGCCGTCGTGTCCGTTTTGATGGGCATGCGTGGCGGCTTCTCCAACTTCAACAATGTGTCGACTTTTGATACATACTACGGGATCTTGCGAGACACGCTGCGCAAGTACAATTTTGACGGTGTCGACTTCGATATCGAGGACTACATAGACGGCAATGAGCATGCTATCAAGCTAGACCCCGTCGTCAAGCTTATTCAGCGGCTACGCAAGGACTTCGGCCAGGACTTCATCATCACACTGGCTCCTGTATCGACTGCGCTTGCCGGAGGACAGAACCTAAGCAGGTTCAGCTACGAACAGCTCGAGGAGCGGTGCGGGGAAGATATATCTTGGTACAACGTGCAGTTCTACTTCCAGGACCAGGAACTCGCGTCAACGGACAGCGTCGATGCGGTCATAAACAATGGGTGGAAACCTGAGCGCATCGTCATCGGTATGATGAGCACGCCTGACTACGACCCCTTCGTCAGTCTTCCTGTGGTCGCGAAGACTCTGCATAAGCTTAATGCTAAGTACCCTGCCATAAGGGGTATTGACGGCTGGGATTACTATGATCAGAAGCCTGGGGGATATCCAAACCCTTGGGAGTGGCCTAGATGGGCGGCGCGGCAGCTGGGCGTGGCTAATGAGACTGCTGGTGCGGCTTCTGGTCTTAAATCTGGAAGGCGAAGAGGCTTTACGGCTTAAGGTTTAGTTCCTTAACGTCCAACTTGGGTCTTACTTTTAACTTACCCAGAGATGGAGAAGGTACGCCAAAACAGAAGGTGCCAGACACTGTGACCATCCATGTATTTATGCCCACATAGCAAGTGGCTCCCACATCTAAAACCTCTCTAAATATAACATCGATTACTCTCCCTCTTTCTCCTAGTTACTTACCTACCTTAGATATGGACAAGATACGCGACAACAGAAAATACGAGGCACTGTGGTGATGTATTTAAGCCCATCCGTACCAAGTTGCTCCCACATCTAGAAACCACACCTTTCCTAATACAACATCCATTACTCCTCCCGTCTGGTGATCGCGTCCAGGTAGTAAGCGAATCGAAAGGCCTTTGGTCACTGCGTTGATATCCAGTCACTCGTTTCCTACCGAGATCAAGAGCAGCCTTCATCCAAAGGCGTGTCGCTGGTTCAACTCGAACCAGAATTCAAAGCCAAAATGCAATCCGGCCACCTCACAAATCCGAAGTGGAAAGACGTGCTCAATGTCGTCAAGACGAATGCTCGTCTCAACGACAATGCGGCAGATCTCCCATACCATCTGCGCGATGGAATTCTCTAGAAGAAGTTCGAAACGATGGACAGACTGTGCGTTCCTCGCACATGCTACCCCGAGATCTTCGAGTATCTCATTTAACCCTTCATCCTATCAGTTGTCTAGCTCTTGAAGCTCGTATACGCCATCATATTCACCATAGTCAGAAAGAGACTATCACCAACACGATTGAATCATCACGAACCTCTCCGTCAACTCTGTAGCATCATTCGAATGCTTACAACCTCACTGCCACATATGCCTCGTCGGATCCAGAAGCGAAGTCCATTTTCCCACGGGGCTGTGGTGCTATTAACTGTTGAGGTGGAGGGCTAGAGCCATGGTACTGGTAGGCTAGAGGCCAAAGGGATTAGCCATGCAGCACTAAGAATGGGAATTGAAGGCATGGAATAGCGAGGTATTGGAGAGCATGGAAATGGAATCACTGTGGACGAAACAGCCCGGGTTAAAGAGAGATTGAAGCTATCGTGACAGCAGGGACACCGTCTTGTCCTTCCGTAGTAGATGGTGGAAGGAGGTACGCAACAGTAGAAAGTGCGAGGCACTGTACTCTTGTATTTAAGCCCACACAACAAGTGGCTCCCACATCTATAACGTGCCTTTCCAATACAATATCTCCACTCCCACTTATCTCCTAGAAGGCTAGCCAAGCGGTCTTTGTAAGACTTTTAGGAGCACTCCTAGCGATGCTCCTCGTAAAGTTCATTAGTTCGTCCTACCTCTTTAAGGGCACCGTCCGTAGCAACTGAATCCTTCCGAGCAACTTCACACGCAATAGCTGTTTAGTGATCTCTCTATAGATTTCATGTGAAACCTAATCACCTCGGTAGGGACAATGTTTAGGTATATAAACAATAGTAGTACTACGTTCCAGTGCCCATTAGGGCAGTCCAAGTAGCGCAGTTGAATTTCGTTTGAAACATTTTTTTTTCCTTCTGAGGTAGTTTGTTTGAGTCGAAGTCTACGCAAATATATTCTTTTAGAAGATCCAACTCATTTTTAAAGTGTCAATCGACACAAGGTGTTGTCAATGATTCAGAAGTTGAACTACCCACGGATTACTATCGCTTACATCGTCGACTGACCTTTAACGTCAAGGCGCCATGTATGCTGTAGGACCAGTTGCTCAGGTAGGAAGCTCGCTGGAATTGTGCCCAAGTCCAATTTTGTTACATAACGAGGCGTATAGTCTCTGGAAAGGCACCTAATTCGCGAATCTTACCGGGAAGGAGTTTCATGGCGTCGTGTAACACGACAACGTTGTTTAAAACTCCGAGCTGAAGCACATGATGGTTTTCCGTAGTCGTATTGTTCTGAGCTTCTCACCCGACTCAGATCGACCTCAGCTTTTATACTCTAAAGCTTGACGATGGAATCGACTTATAGCCGTTACACGATGGCGGGCTGGTACAGAATCGTCGCCCGCTTGGCATTAACAGTTCTCCTCACATCTAATATCGCTGATGCTGTTTCTATTCCACCTCCTACAGGTCCGTACGGGGTGGGAGTTCGCAAATACACCATTGAACACTACAATAATCACGACCCCGTAGCACCGAATAATGTGAGCACGGCATTCTTGGCCACCATATTTTACCCGACCCTCCAGAAACCGCAGGGTTTGGAAGGACCCTATCTCAACCCTGAGACAGCCGCAATTTTCGAACAGTCTTGGAACTATACTTCCGGAACCCTGTCGTCTCTCACCTCGACGGTGCAGCATAATGCTCCATTCTTGGAACTGAAAGGAAACCAAGCTGGAGAAGAGGAAGTGAAAGGATCTCCTTATCCGACCATACTATTCGGTCCCGGTGGTGGAGGTCCACCCGTTGAAGGTAACACAATACTGCTCTCAGAGTTGGCATCATATGGCTATGCTGTAATTGGACTGGACCATCCATTCGAGCAACCTTTCATTCGGTACCCAAATGGCACTGGAGTCTATGGTATTGTCATCGATTATAACTCAATTGAGCTCATTACAGCCATCTACGAAACCCGCCTTGGCGATAATGCCGTGTTCCTAGACCAGCATCTTATTGAGTTGGTAGAGAAATTTAACCTACCGCTCAATACCACCCATCTTGGTGCCTTCGGGTACTCACTAGGCGGCGCAGCAGCATTCGGCTCGCTACAGCGCAACGGACGCCTCAAGTCTGGATTGAATCTAGACGGCACTCTCTTTGGCGACCCAGCATCAAACAGCAGCATCGCCGACGAGCGAAAACCTACCTTCCTTCTGGGAAGTGAGGGCCATGGCGGCGGGTATGGATCCGATCACTCATGGGCAACGTTTCCACTCTGGCAAACAGGGTATCAAAGGAGAATCTCTATCAATGGGACGACGCACCATGATTTCTGCGATGACACGTTCTGGAAGACTCTCGAGAGCGGTGCAGATACTGCCGCGGGGCCGATTAATGGCCTCGAGCAGGTCAGGGTCCTGAACGCCTATGTCAAGGCTTTCTTCGATCTCACGTTGCTTGGCAAAGATTCGCCTATTTTGGATGGACCGTCTTCTGAGTTTCCGGAGGTCGTGTTCTATGATGAATCCTAACCGTGAAGAGTTATATGTTTTATCCAAATGTCCATGGGCGGCGGATGTGTCTCGCACAGGTCCTTAGACCAAACGGTCTAGAATGGGATCTTAATATAATAACTCATGATCGACGTCCTAATAATGGGGTATCACACAAGAGAGGTGGAACGGGGGTTAGAGATGGAATAATAATGTTATTTCATTAGAAGTGCCTGGAAAATTTGCATGAATAGGCCCCGTAGTAGCTGTGCAAGGGGTTAGCAATTTGAACATCACTTTCATCAACATCACCGTACAATTGGTCGTTAAATCCATCAGATGGTAGGAAGAGTACTGTCTCGGCCGGTAGTCGTCCCTTTATGGATATGTCAAGGTGGCTGCTAACCCCTAGGGTTAGTGCCTGATAACCGTGACATCAAGTCCATAGTATGATGTAGAACATCGTATTAATAAGAATGAAATTTCTCATAATAAAGTCTTATGAACTTAGCTGTTGACTTTATTTTTGATTAGTACTCGATGACAGGTTACGTCAGCAACCGACTTGGACATTCTTGCCAAGCTCCACTTGTCCTCTATGATATGGCCTGTTCTTAATTAGGTACCTTGCTAAAGATATGGTAACATTGTATCTAGAAAGATTCTGTTAGAAATCGACCCATTGGCAAGTTACTACTTGTAACGGAGTAGAGAAAGGATCGATAGTGGAGTTCACAGATAAAAAAGAAAGTAAAAAAAAATGAAAACAAAACACAACATGTCAGCTAAAGGGGAATATTGCAAAAAGATATTTGTGCCCCCACACCGGATTGAACGATGGACCTCGGCATATCGATAATAACATGGAACTCCACGCCATACGAGTGCCGCGCTCTACCACTGAGCTATAAGGGCTCAGATGATTGGAGGGATGGTTAATAGGTTTTATATTCCGTAGTGAGTTTTGTGGGTGAGCCACCATCTGACTAGCGCATCTGACTAGCGCCGCTACCCCACCATTGTATACGAAAAAAACCCTCAGACAATAAAGTTATTGTCAAGTTATTGTCTTCCCTTTATGTTACACCTGAAATTTCCCATCCGGTGAGTTTCATCACGATGTGTCTTTTCAATACTTAATGCTAAGAACATAGTTTAAGCAATATCATTGTAATCACGGTTCTCAAGTTAGGGACTTAGGTTTCCATGACTTCGGCTTCTAGAGCCCTATGCTTTACAGCAAGTGATCCAAACACAGCACTGCAGCTTTAAACCAATATAATTCCTTAGCAGATAAAAGGCACATATGTGCCTTGAAACAATCATGAACAGCGAGAGTAACATGTCGGTAAGTTGAGTCAAATATCCAATCCCTGGGAAGACATATAGGTTGGAAGCCAAGGGTCGAAGGTCGAGTAAGTCAGGTGATTAGGTACATAATCGCATGGTTTTATACACTACAGTCCAACAATTCAACACCAGGACCTTTAGATTGCGGGTAGGTTTTCATTTTAGAATGAAACTGCGCAGAAGGGCTATGAGTCTTGATTCCTCGGGTGCTTATGAGGGGTCCAAGCGTTTCCTATGCGCAGGCTACGGGCTGTATTCTCGGATCCATTACGTACGATACAGACCAGCCGCAAGACCTCGACGAAATTCAATTTCTTTTAATGGCAAAAGGTATAGAAGTCAATAATATGGCTATTCTATAGGTCTCGATAAGTTGCGATAATTAGGACATAAGGATTAGATTCAAAGTTGGTTATTCGACGTGAGAGTACCGGTGACAGAAAGTTGCCTACATGAAGCCACGCGAAGAATAATCGACCCCTCCATTACCCCTTTAGAGTCCTCGGCAGGGAAGACTCATTAGCATCGAGGGATCACAAAAGCCTCGCGGTGTGTTAGATTATGTAATACTTCTTGACTTGGAGTCAGAATATAATATTCCGCTAGGACACGAGGTAGCACAACAGGGCAATATCATTTGAGAGATATTACCAAGGAAGCCTCTGGGGTGAAGAAAACACCAGACTACCTAGTAGGGAAAGCGACCCGAGACTGAGGTAAGCCGACAACGCGGGTTTTGCGATCCTCCAAGGATTCAAATCCTTGGGAAGCTTGGTAGACGCCTAATCCTAGCGAATCCAGTCCCTACGTTATGTTGAGTTCCGCTTAGGATTCCAGCTGTGCCGTTGTTGCGGGGGTTCAACTGCGCAGTCGTTCATTTCGTGCCGGTTACTGAATCCGGCTAGCGGTGCGAGGTACGTACCATCAATATGGCTTCACCTAGTATCCAGGCAAACATTTCTAAGTAGATTTGAAGAAGATTTCGTGTATAAATAACCATCAAGAACCGTCGTCTTCAAGATAATTTCTCGCCACCATCATCATCATTCATTCCGAAGCTCTACGGAAGAGATAAGTTAGCTTATTCTGCAGAATCTCCGTCTCAGAATATTGCATCTTTGTCCGACTAAGACGGATTGTCGACATTTCAAGTCTTTGTACGTCTTTGACCAATTGGCTATCTTTGAGCTGTAAAAACTGTCCAGCACCAAGAATTATCGACCTTATAACATATTCATTATGAGTTCAAACAACACTCTTCAATCCGGCGCCCGCGTCATCATCACGGCCCACAAGGAGGACGGAACTTCCGTCTTCCATTCGGACCGGGTAGTGGAGCCCTTCTCGCCCTTCGGACCAGCCGGGAGCTCCTTCTTTATTTTTGACGCGCGCCCCTCGGTGCCCGTGAACAACCAAGAGGAGCCCAGGGTCCTGCAGAAAACGCTGCCCCGCGTTCCCCAGACGGGTGTCTCCTTCTGCATTACGAACATGGCGCCTCGACATAGTGCTCCCATGCATCGAACTCTAAGCCTCGACTATGGCGTCGTGCTGTCGGGCGAGATCGTCCTCGAGCTAGACGGTGGCGAAGAGAAGACCGTCAAAGCGGGCGACGTCATTGTCCAGCAGGGTGTCAACCATGCCTGGCATAACCGGACTGATGAGGTCTGCCGGATCGCATTTGTTGGGGTGGGATCGGAGAAGATTAAGCTGGTGAATGGGCAAGAGCTGGAAGAGACCGTCATTAAGACTGGAAATGCTGGGCCTAAATAAGGGTTATTATTTAAAACAACTATTCCATTTAGTTGAAAGATCCCATTTTTCTTGTATTGCCTGTCTCTCTCCAGCAAGGGTTCACCCGCTCACTAGATTAACTATCAGACTTTTGTTCCTCCCTGATATACACCTCAATCTCATATCATCACTCTTCTCAGATTCGAGACTTGCAGCTGTGAATTGTGCCGTAAGTGATAGAGATCTGGTTTATATGATACTTAGAGAACCGAGATGAGACTTCATTCCGGTGTACTCACGAATCCGTTCGAACACTATCTGGCCGTTCCGCTTTTGCTCTGGCGTCGTCGAGAGTTGTGCCCCTTTAATCATCTTAATAGGCCAAAGCAGGAGGTAGGCTCCTATTCCTCGGCAACGCGGCGCATTGGTCTTATGGTCATGTAATCGGCCCAAGTGGTCAATGTCACCAAAAGTTTGAGGCACAGTTGAAAGAACCTCGTCAGCTAACAGGCGTATCATTTCGGTGAATTGTTCTATTAGGATACCGAGACTCTCTCTTGTTGAAGAATCTAGATCGGGAGATTCCATCGCGGTATTCAGACAGTTTAAGAGCTGTTGGTGACCAATACTCCGTGCCGTGCGGTGGTAGTTCCATTCATAGGCGAGCCAAAGATCCGGATGAAGTTGGACTGTCTTAGTCAGGGGTCGTACCGAAGGGTCGAATTCGGGTAGATCGGACACATCTAGAGTTTTGAAGAACCATTCAGGTTTTTGTCGCCAACTAGCCACTTCCTGGTCTAGCTTGATGAGCTCATGGACCATCTCCAGGATTTCGTATATGGCCGAGTCGCCGCTGGCTATTGTCTCCTGCAACTTCCTTGCCCGTTCGCATGTCTGGCTGATCCGAAGAGCATCTTTCTCTAAGCGGGCGGAAGGCGCGTCGTCATTCAATTGACCAATCCAATGTTCCGACTCGTCAAGAGGCTTCAGATTGAAAGCTAGTTGCTGTTTTTGCTACAATTCTATGAGCACGCTCTAATGCCGCCGTCAAATTCAACTCACAATTCTATGATGAGCCAACCTAAACAAGCTCCATCCGCGAGGGTTATATATCTGATCCGAACCTCGCAACCTTAAAATTTGCGCCATTCCCTGCGCGTGAGCTCCCCTCATTGTAGAATCTTCAACGAAGAAAGTCTTTAGGCTTAGCACACGGGAACGACGAACTTCTTCCTTAGACGTACCTCGAAAATATCCAACATAACGGCAGTCATGAGGTCGTAGTCGTCAGGGACCTTATCTGGTCCTGATAAGGACTCGCCTAGTGCTGAAAGTGCCATTCCATAGCAATGAAAGGCTTTGCTCGTCAACACATCATTGTTCTGCGCCTTAGACAGATCAGCATAAGCTGCAGCTCGGACAGCCCAGCGTAGCGCGAACCGGCCTTCGACATTCACATCTTTAAACAGGCTTGGCAGGTGCTCAAGGAAACCAGAGGAAGATGTCTCGTTACACGGGTATATGACATATTTATCCATGAAGCGATCGACTACCTCATCTTCGGGAGCAGGCCGTAAATGGGTCGGCACGGTTTTCGCCCATGGAAACGGCTCCAACAATTTAAGACTAGCTGCCTCTTGTTCCGTGAAATCGGAAGGGTCAACGAGCGCACTGGATAACCGACTCGAGTTTGACTTATTGTCGGTAGACCGGCTCCTCCGCCTCGTAGTCGTCTTCGACGAGGTAGAAGACGGGGAGACTAAGACAGCTGCTGCATTGGCGTGTTCAATCACCTTCTCAGTCTCATAACGAAACACGATGCTTGCGTCATCGCGATAGCCTTCACATACTTCATTACGTTTGATGCAGCGTTGACACGAAGGGCGTCCTTGGTCGCATTTGACCCGTCGTTGGCGACATCTCAAGCATCCACGACTAAGGCGTGACATTGGAGGTTGCCTTGGCTAAAGGTTCGGCAAGTTCCTAGCGAATTATTTAGACTTCGACGTCAATTATCGCGTGGTGGTGGATACGCCATCCCACTGCCCCCTCTCCCTCCGGTAAATCACGCATGAAACCGCCCACTAATTCCAGAATAGGGATAGGCCGTGCAGGTCGTGCAATCTGCCGAACGAGGGATGACTCAGCATCAATCCTCATCGTATCACGTGGCGTTCCATCCGCTTCCAGTGCAGTGACGATTCGACGCGAGTATCTTACCACATACTTACCCCGAAGTATGTAGAAGACAAGTTCAAGGATTAGATAGGGGAGATCAATGGGTAACAAGAGATCGCCAGATAGTGCCGATAGGAATTGAACCATATCCTCTTATTACCCATTTAGCTAGGGGGACAACACAAGCCTACTAACGAATTGACGAATGACGAATGACGATATAGTAGGCTAGTCATTTGCCCAGCTAAAGAAAGTTCTGGTGCTGCTTTCAATTCAATGCCAAGCTCAAGGGTAGCTCACGAGAGTTACCCCAATTGAGAACTCCGTCATATCGCTATTCTTCAGGGTCTAGCAATGTTACATATGACGGAGCTGACAATTTAAGCTAACATCCTGAACTGAGGTTCGTAGATCTAGGTTGGAGCCGGCGATGGTGGAGAGTTGGAGATTGGGCCCTCCTCCGCGTCCTCCGCATTTTACCCCATACCGAACGAGGGTGGATCGACAGCCATATGACGTCCAATGAGATAATACTCGAACTTTCGAGCGAATACGTCTTGAAGGTTGTCGATGGGATGCTGGTCTTGCTCGCACAGCTTCGCCATGCCTGACATTGAATATGAAGTCATGTGTCACGAGACATCATGAGATGGATG